GAAAGCACCTTGGACTTCAAACAGAACGATTAATTCTCACAGCTAGAAATACTCGGAGAATTGAGAATTCGATTTTTACAGCTTGCATCCTTTGAGAGGGCAAATCCTCGAGCAAGGGTCGAGGCTTACACCAGCTCGTTATTTGTGGATTAAACTTGCTGGGAGGTACATTTCTGCCAACATGGCATTGATTTGTCTAGAGCAATCCTTCACAACTATAAACTCGTAAATTGGAGCTCAGAATTCTCAACGCAATTAGAGGTGAATTATTAATTGAATTGTTTCATTGTTATACTCCAAGACGCATGGCAATGACTGGAGTATAGCGAATTGTGCGGCACGAGAAATTATTATTTTCCTCTCGAGTTACTTTTTGGAGGAAAAATATAATCGATGGGGATTAGATATACTTGAAGGTCTTGAAAAAGTTCTAGCGCATGACCAATCAAAGTAACTTATGTCGATTGATCCGCCCATTCCATTCCATCGTCGAGTGCACCATTACCGGTGCCTATTCCGTAGTCTCTTAGAGTGAGCCCCTTGTCGAAAATCGACCATCTCCCTGTTAGCTTGGCTTCCTGCATCAATCGTCCTCTTACCTTTGCACAGTCCTGTTTCTACATTGGGGAGAAATCCAGATGAAACGTCAGAGAGACGGGAACCAGCAACGAGGAAAAATACCAATGAGCGGAACTTTAATTAGATCCGGAATCGATCAGAGTTCGTTCGGATCGCCAAGTATGGGAGAAAAACATTTTTGTTTATACGTCGCGGTTAGCATCAAAAGAAAATGGGAGATCCTTCAATTTTTTATGAAAAATTGGTGTCGTTAACTCATGCTGGAAATACCTGGGTTAAAAAAATTGTAATCGGAATATTTTTTTTTATTTTCAAAAAATTTATGGAAAAATTTTCCAAAAATTTTTGGAAAATTTGGAAAAAATATTCCGATTACAATTTTTTTTTAGCAGGATAATTAATCGAAATAATTGAAACAATTTCGCCTTTGATTGCTTTAAATCTCAATTAAAATGTTTCAAGACGGTATATTGTTAATACATTTGATAATAAATACTTATTTTCACTGGTACCGTAAAAAATTGTTTGATACCAATGTGAAAAAATTTGTGTGGAAATCGTGCTGAAAAGAGAAATTTTTTTCACTGGGATGATAAAATATTTTCCATGGGGGTGGTGAGTGTTGAAGCCTGATGATTATTCTGAGGGTTGTTCTTTGGGGTAAACTGATGATATTTTTTCACCCCACACCCGCATCAAGATCAGGGCTTTGGCTGGTTGCCCATCGAAGCGTAATACTCTCGTTCCCTAGGGACAGGAGAGTACATCGACGCGAACACAACGATATTGACCAACGAACCTCGCCCGTTGTTAAACACCATGCGTGTGTGCGTCGACGTACACCTATTTCCACCGAACGATCACTGCGTTTTACTCGGCCACACGTATAGTCCAGCCAAAACCGTAATCATGATTGCAGCTATGGTGAAAAATCCCCCATACACTGCCATCCCAGACAAATCCTCCTCGACGAGCGTGTGAAACACAGGTATGCCGGAAAATTGCGATGCTCGCTGGGGGACAATACAGGGTAATTAATACCCAGATACAACCTCCCGTTGAATATTTTTCATTGGAAATTTCCAGTCTTTCATCGGTCGAAAATCATACACTTCGTGTAAAAATATTTCAGCAGCATTAAGTATCCGGCTAAAATCAAATACCCAATATTTAATAGCTACCCCATGACATTTGGCATTTTGCCAATTTTTTTCAGGTCTAATTGAGGAACCAATCGTTTTGAATTTTAAAATATAGAATAGAGCATTTTATTTATCGTGATGCTGTAATTTATTTCTTGGTGAATCGCCGAGTAAATTCTGCATGGATTAAGATTATTTAAAGTAATTGGGTGGTTGAAGAGATTGAATAAATTTTCAATGGAAATATTCCACTTTCGGTAAAGCTGAGAGTTCCGATTTTGCACTCACTCCATTTTCCTTGAACCTCGCCCTCCACAGACTAAACGCATATGCTGTAACATGGGGAAAGCATTCAGCTGTCAGTCGTATGTTCCAGTCTCCAGAACTCACGTTCGTGCTTTTCTTTCTGGTTGTACACTTGGAAAGGGTGGCATAACCTCGCGCACGTACCAAAACCCACCCTACCCTCTGTACGTGTCCCTTAACCGAGTCTTAAATACGTGACGCAAGGATAATGGGGAAGATTTCACAGCCGAGATCCACTGTAAACCGAAGAACGAATCGTTTCTAAAATGTACGTGCGTCCGATTATCTTCTTTCCAAATGGGAGAAGAAAATCGAGATTGAACAATTTCCTGTCGAGCACTGAAAGATATATATATTCCAAGGATTCATTAACGTAGAGAAGTATATATTTTTATATAATAAAATCATTCAATAAATATATATTCAATAGAATCAATAATCAATAATTATGAAATTGAAATTGAAATCGAATTGTGAGAATTAAAAACTTCTTAGAGTCATACGAAATAAAGTTTATGTTGAAGTGATGATGTCATTTAATCACGGAGGGTGTCCCTCGCATGGATTCATTCTCAGGGGATGAGAATGCTCTGGAAAAACGCCGAGATTTCCTCCTACTCCCTGTGTTCTCTTTTTCCTCAATATTCCCGGCAGTTTAACTTATCCTCCCCCTTCGTATATTTTCTTCTCCTGTCTGCTCCGTTTCGAAGTGCCCACGGGCACTAACTTATAACGAGAATTGCTCTCGGAGCAGAATTTCCGGAAGTTTCGCATATTCCTTTCCGTCTATACCCTACCCTGTGTGCGTCACTCAACTTCTACGTGAAATCTTGTTCTTTACCTCCAACCCCACCTTTTTCTAGCTTTTCAAGTGTTTTTATGTGTTCTCATTTCTCCAGAGGTCCATTTTCTCGATTCCCAGTCGTTTCTATTGCGTTAATTCAGGTTAAATGTTCAGTGGTCGGGGGAATATAAATTTTACCCGGTGGACACAGCGGTCTTACTGCGGTATCCAATAAAATTCCAATTACTAAATTCATGGTGTTTATAAATGTCGGGGAGTTTTTTTTTTTCAGTCCACGAAAAACATTTTGTAATCGTTGGAGAGATTTTCGGTCGTTATGGGGGGCATCGATTCCACGCTGGGGTTTTATTATTTCATGGTTTTTTATGGCCGTCGAATTAATGTCTGTTTGGGATTTTTTAATGTAATGCATTCGAGTGCAATGAAATTTTTGGAGTTTTCTAGTTAATGATGAATTTTTTTTACTGCGTTGGAAATATTTTGGGGACAAAATTCGATGGATTTTCAATTTTTCCTACAATTTCCCGCATACTCCGTCATTTTTATGGAATAATTAAATTGAAAAACCAAGTATTATAGATTTTTCGATTGCAGATAGACCTGGTAGATTTCAAATCTAATTTTTTAAATAAAAAAACAAAGCATAGATTTAAGACAATTATTTGTTCGAATCTAGAGACGACAAGGGAATTTTTCCCCGACCTCGAGAAATTTTCTCCTCCACGGATTACTCGGAATGTACACTGCATTAACGTCAGATCAGTATGAACAATGAAATTTCTTTTGCCAATGTTTCCAATAACAAGAGCATTGCAAATAGAAAGGTGAACCCTCAAGGGGTGATTTGTTTAGTGCATAAGGAAGGCTGGCACGGGGAAGACTTTCATCACCGCAAAGTGGAAGCCGAAGAGAGAAAGCGAAGAGTCAAAGAAAGCCGAGTGGGATGAGTGAGATTGAAGAAGAGGGTTGAAGGTGGCGCTTGTAAGTATCATTTTTCCCAGGTCACAGGTCGTTTAATAAATTTCCAACCACTTGATAATCAGAGTAGCTATCAGAATAATTGCATCCTCATGGAATCAAGACAATTGTCCATGAATTCATGAGTCCATTGACGATTGAATAATTCGCCGAATGTAATCGCTTGTTAAATCATGATAGTCTTATAGTGAGTGCCTTGGCATGCATTCAAAATGGCCATCAAGTAACTGCTGACATGAGATAATGAGCATTAGTTCAGCCCACATTTCATACCCTTTGTTCAACACGATAGAGCGACGGCTACAACCCCCAAAAGCCCTCATAGATAGGATAATGAATATATTTGCCATCGATTCAACATGGTTCACCTGGTGGTATATCTGCTTGCTCGATCTCTGGCACGATATTCAGAATTCCAGTGGATAAATGTTTGTTACGGGATAGACAAAGCCCTTTTTCCACAATATTTACTCTCCTTCCTTGGATATCCCGTAAAAACGCCACTTGTTGATTATTTCTATGGTCCAGTATGAAAATTTTGGAAAATTCAAACTCCCGGACATTGGTGGCCATTGACAATTATAAAATCTCACTGTTGATATTATTTTTATATTTTGCAGGTTCTTCTCTGAGCCACATGGCATGGAAAACTGATACATGAAAGGAGTTACACCCCCAACTTATGAAAATCCTAGATTTATTGCCACTATGTCATGCAAACCACTAGACAAGCGAGCTTCCCCTACAACTTGACAAATCGCTTGGAAGGATACGCTCGGTTGCTTTCCCGTTGTACCACACACTATTCTCTCTGGCAGACATTTTGATTTGCGAAAAACTCCATTCCATTCTCGGACTTGGGCTTATCCCAAAAGTCCCTTCAGTGCCACGACAAAACATTTAAATCGCTCGTCTCATGCGAAAACAACTTTTCGATAGACATGCCAAGTTTCTTCTAATTTCCGAATACCGAATACAGTCACGAGTCAACAACAGAAGATGGAGGAACACGAAAAATTACTGAGGATTGATCGTTCCCCGGCGAAATTCTGGTACTCGAATTTTCCGTATGGAGTGCACAGCCATTCATTAATTTTTTTCTGAACCCATGTCTTTTTTTCTGAAGGTGATGAATCCTTTGGGATTCATATTTTTTGTTTTTTTTTTTATTGAGTGGTTGTTTGACGTACCGGTACTAGCTGAGCCGAGCCTTAGGACAGCATCACCCTGCAGTGATATCGATAGTGTAGCGGTGTCCTCGAGTCGTGCTAAAACTTCTTCTGGTATGTCCTCAGGTTCGCGGAGGCGGAGAGTGACTTCACCTCCGCCTCCGCCACTTTGACCATTACCACCACCAGGACTCGTTGAAGCCGAATACATAAACACTGATCCGTATCCATGCAACGACTGAAGGGGTAGTCTCACACCGCCAACTTCACCGACAGGCCCCTACAAAACAATTAAAAACAATAGTACTTTAGTTTTTCCCTAGGACTCATACATGTTAATTACTCCGAAATAGTCACACCATTTTTTGTACGTAATTCACGTAATCTCAATAATCGTATGCATCAATGTCTTTTTTCAATTTACATGGAGAATTATTTCGTCACACCTCATTCCCATCGTAATTGAAGTAAAAACTATTGATTTACGTACAATTGAAAAATTCCTGAAATCTCACTGGTCTCGATGAAAATCGTGAGAATTCAAAACAGGAAATAAAATTTCATCAGTAAATAATCCTGAAGAGTTACCACATGGAACATGTTAACACAATGGACTCCATAAAGAGAACAAGTGAGATACAGCTATGTGAAGTTGGCATCGAAGTTTGAAAAATCTAACTTTTTTTTGTTGGTTTGGATTGTACTCATTGAGTAC